GTTTCTTACTGCACTTTATAAAATCCCTACTAGCCTTTTAAAAATATCGATATACCTTAGTACCAGGATGAGATCTGGCAGCCACATATTTGTGCAGATGAGGGAACTGCAAGCCTTAGATCCCCAGGAGGGAGCCAGTCTGTGTGTAGCTGAGGGATCTGGAGATGGAATTTTCCACCATGTGGTCTTAGTTTTCTTATAAGTGTTATAAAACTGTTCATTGGCAAGGGCACAGGACAATGAGAACTAAGCAAAAATTGAATCTCCAGAAGAACGTATTAGGTCTCCTGTAATGTGGAACAAGTCTTGATGCCAATTCCTAAGTCACACTGTAGCAGTTTATTGCCCTGCATTGAGTGTGCATTGGGCCCAGCCGATAAGGACAGCCTTCTCATTTAATTTGTTAAGTGTTTGCCCTGGCACAAACATCACATTTTTTTTTTTTCATCTTTAAAAAAATGCATGGGAACACTAGGTGAATGCCACTTTGGAGCTGAGGGCACCGCAGGTTTTCCTCTTTGACAGGCCTTATGTGGAGTCATATTTGAATGATCGACATCTTGAAGTGCCCTGCTTTGAAGTGAGTACAGTTAGAGTAGGGAATAAAGCAGGTAGGTTGGAAAAAGAATATCAGGAAATCATCATTTTACATGGGGAAAAAAAAAGTAAATGGAAATAGACTAAATTGTTTACACTGGTTGTCTTTAGATGGAAGGACTAATATATCTTTTCATTATTCTGTGGTTTTTATATTTTCTAAAGTGAGCACATATCGTATAACTTTCGTAATAGGAAAAATAACTTTAAAATTGCCATTTTAAATTACTGATAGGAATTACAAATGAAAAGTAGCTACACTTTATAGTGTGATTAATAAACAGACAACAGGTAGATCCCAGTTAGGCCAATATTTTTAGAGTTAACTGGGTTGAAACATGACCTGTAAAAAAGAGAATTGTAGGTACTGGCCGAAGTTTGTGATAAAACTCAAGCCACCTCATCTCTTTTTGACATGTAATTGGTAAACAAAATAAAATAAAAATTCGTCCTCTGGGCATTTAGTAGCTTAATCAAGTTTATAAGATGCCTGGGTCTGTTCTGTAGGGAGGTTAATTAGGCTTGTGCTAAATGGCACAAATGTTTGGGATGCTTGTTATTGGCATGTGGGGGCCATAGATTGAGGAGTACTCCCGATTGGCATCCTCTGAGTCCTTCGAAGGAATGCTAAAAGGGCTTTTGTTAGTCTGTCCTCGTGTAGGCACAGTTGGGAGCAGAATTTATTTTGGTGTATTGATCAGTAATAGCTAAAATGTTATCTAGAACACATACCCTTTCCATAGCTAAGACAAAACATGTAATCCTATCTCTGGAGAGAAAAAAAGAAAAAAGGTTTAATATAGCAAACTAATGTCTTGTAAAGGCTTTTTTGATTCTCACCAATCAGAAGTAATTACTCCTCCTTTGAACTCCTGTGGCTCTCTTATTTCTCATTTTGTAGTTAGTTTTATAGATATCTGTCATCTTTGTTCTAGTAAGCTCATGGAAGGCAGAGACCTTTTTGTTTTTTTTCATAATTCTTTATACAATAAGTACTCAATATGTGGTTGTTGAATAGCTAAATCCTCAACTCATTGAATTGGCATTTTTCCTGACTTTGATGATTTCAGGGCCAAGGCAGAGGAGATAAGCCTAGAGCTTTGAAGTCTAGGTGGGAATCACTTGCCTGTAATATGCAGTATTTGCAGCCTCTCTCAGTGGCTTCCCATAAAAGTGGGAGAGAGGAAGGATTTTTGAGTCATTATCCTGCCCTCCCCACCCCAACATCTTTCTTCTAGAATTCTTATTTCTCTGTCTTCTCCTTCTCCATATTAGTTATCATCTATTGCCATGTAACAAATCGCTCCAAAGCAGAATTATTTATTATATCTTATGGTTTTTGCAGGTCAGGAGTTTGGGTGGAAGCTTGGTAGGGTGGTTTAGGCTCAGGGTCTCGTGGCTGCAATCAGATGTCTCGGGCTGCACTCATCTGAAGTCTTGACTGGGACTGGAGGATCCATTTGCAAGGTAACTCATTCTCATGGCTGGCAGGTTGGTACTGGCAAGTTGGTTCCTCTCCACATGGGCTTCCTAAGGGAGCTGTTTTGAGTGTTTTCACAATATGGTAGCTGGCTTCCCCTGGAGCTTGTGAATAAAGACTGCAATGTCATGAAGCAGAAACTGTAATGCCTTTTATGAAGTAGCTTCAGAAGTACATATTGTTGCTTCTGCTTATTTTATTAGTTACACAGGCCATCCCTGATTTATTTGGGTGGGAAGATTATACATGAGTGCAGATATCAGGAGTCAATGATCATTGGGTTCCTTGGAGACCATCTTAGAGGCTGGCTACTATACTCTTCATCCACTGCTATGATTCCCTAAGTGAAGGATAGCGAGCTTAGCTTTGGTTCATCTCCCTTTTCATTCTCATTGCCATTCCTAATTCAAGGCCTCATTCTAGGCTATAGTGTTAACCTTCAGTTTTTGTCCTCCCTTTAACCCACCCTCCATATTCTTGCTTCTTGGAGTGTAGCTAAGAACATACTGTTCTCTTACTTAAACATTTTTGTAACTAAAATGTGTGCTCCATGAGGGCAAAGACTATTGTATTAACTGTTTGTTGCTGCATAAAAATATTCCCACGAATTTAGTAGCTTAAAACAATACACATTTATTATCTCACAGTTTCTGGGAGTCAGGAGTCTGGCATGTGTTGACTGGGTACTCTGTAAGGTTGCAGTTAAGGTGTCAGTCAGGACTAGCTTGAGTCCTGCCCATGCTCAGTGAGGAGGGGCGCGGCGGCGGGGGCGTGGGGGTGGATTATGTAAGGGTATGAATACCAAGAGGTAGAGATCATGGAGGCCATTTTGAGTCTGTCTGCCATAACTACGTAGTTTCCTCTGTCTTCAGCACTCTCAGCAGTGCATGACACATACTAAGCTCTAATATTTGAATGAATAGATATAATATGACTATTATATTTCCAGCTCCTAGTTTAAGCCTCTTTCTTCGCTTCCTTTGCTTCTGTTTCAGAGGTACTGATTCATTCTTGAGAATCCTCTACTTTCATCTATCCCCATGGATGAACTTCAGGATGTTCAACTCACAGAGATCAAACCACTTCTAAATGATAAGGTAAAGATGACTCTGTTTTCAATAAAACATAAAGACTACTCTGCTTTCACTAAAATGTCTTTTATTTGATCAGTTTATTTTCTATATTTAAATAGTAACTAACTCAAAACATATTTACCTTGACTTTCTATGGAGAGAAGTTTTTAAAAATATATTTTTTAACCCTCTTTTTGATGTCTGTCTTCTTTTTCTTTTCTACTTTTTTCTACTGGCCAAATTCAGTCAAATTATCTTTGAGATTTTCCTGTTTTACAGATAGAGATATTAAGGGAAAAAATAGTAAGGCCAGGTTAAGTACAAAATATGAGTAGGGTTTAACTTAGAATCCAGATGTCTTGTGTTTCAATTTCTATGAGGAAAATTTATTATCCATGGCTGGTGATGTACAGAGGCTGCAACACTCTCCCTAAAGTATGTCAAGTATGTGATGTGACCTGTCAATGTTGAGGTTTTCATCCGGGATGCGTGGATGTCTGTAATACACCTCATTTTTATGTTAATGTTAGAGAACTACACAAAGTAAAGACCACAGTGATATAAGCTACCAAAAAACTGAGAAAGGCTTTTTCTCTCTCCATTAAGTAAATGTGCCTGAAATTCCTTCTTTTCAACCCTTTTCTTTTTGTTTATTGTGATTGTCCTCTATTAAAATACCCTTGTAGCTTGATGTGAATGACTGCATGGCATCCTTTCCTGAGGGAAGTATTGATGAAGAGTGTGAGGGTAAAGATGGATGAGATTGGTATGAGGGGTACACCGAAACATGCTGTTGCCTGTGATCTTTTTTTGCCCAAAAGAAGGCTCTTCACCTATGATTTCTGTTAAGGTGTTGACTTAATTATGCGCATTGTTAATTTGCTGTAGAATCCTATCAGCCTCATTTTCTTCCCTGTGATGTCA